CTACCCAAAGCATATATATATATATATATATATATATATATATATATATATATATATTTACATTAACAGCGATTTACATTGCAGTTTAATACATATCAATTTTGCTGATAACTTCAAAATGATTAATAATTTTGTGTAATTTTCAATGTATTCCCCATAAAAACCTCGAGTGTACATATAAAGTTAAAAAAAAATCTCCCAACAGGTATGTAACCGTTCTATAGTTATCTTAAATCAGCGCCGGGGGCGGTACAATCACTTTAAGAAATATTGGATTGAATAATATCTTTATCTATAAATGTCAAACGAAAGTCGCTTTTCGTGAACTTTGTTTGAATCAAGCGTTCTGCTAAACCATGAAAGGGATCAAAATACGGTTTTCATCATTATGTAGGTTATGTATTCCACATGGTTTGTGTATATACTTCATAGTAATTCAAGTTTAGTATACATGAATAAACAGCGTGTTTCTGAACCCAATTAGCCTTTGTGACTTACGCTGGCTAAACCATTAGACCTATGTAATAATGATGTATCAGAGAATTCTAGATCTTAAAAAAGTTCTACAAAAAAAGTATAAATGGCATATCGCTATCTTATACAGTTACGTCACAATAAGCAAGTTTTGCTTAAGAGAAAGTAATTGAAATCGAATGTCATTAGCGGCGCAATTTTTTCTATTTTAATTTCCATATCAACATAAATGTGTTAGTTATTAGAGAAATTTTATGTAGATTAAAATGCCTTTACAGAAGGTATATAATTCTGACCAATAGTGTAGAAGTCATCACTCACGATCACAAACAATAGGCGCTACCGAAAAATATGTTCGCGGGCCGGTCGCGCCCGTGTTTACAAGGTTTTTACAGGATTGTACGTCACCGGGAAGAAGTACTACTGATATGAGAGATCAGATGTTTAGACTTTGCCACCCAGGTGAAGTAGGGATGGGTCACTAGTTTAAAATAAAACATTAACTTGTAATGCTATTCAAATGTATTAAACGTTAATAACAACAATTTTCCAGGACTGATTGATATTTATCGTTATTTCGAATTCAGCCAGTTTAGATGTTAAGACTTAGATTGTCCAGAACAAGTAGGGCATAGCTGTAAGTTAAATGTTGTACCATCAATAACTTGTCCAACGTTCTCCGCTAAAGAATTATCACTTGCGTTCACGCTGTTTGTAACTTGGCTTTGAAAATCAGAAGTAACTTGTCTTGACACTCTCATACTTTTTACTTCAACATCTTGGAATGTGCAAATGATCAGAACCAGGTATACGGCGGCAACCTGAAAACACATTAAAAATATACAAACATTGAAATTCTTTTCGAACAAAATATAAATTTCTAGTTGTTTTCCGCGACTCCATCGGCATGAAACTATAAAAAAAAACATAAATAGTAACCTATGTGTTCATAAAATTGCAATGAAATGGGAGCATATTTTCTAATACAAAACATCTAAAAATACGAGGGTGGATTGAAAAGTACTCGGCCTAACATCTTACATTGAACTTACTGTGCGATAAACCAAATCTGAGACAGTAATAGTTTCATAGTAAAATGCAACGTGAAAATTTATTCATGAAATGTTTCGTAAACTTACTTTTACTCCCATGTTATACATATATATGTCTGGGTGATTTCTTAAAACAGAAGTTGCTTTTTGTCGTTTGCTGACATTATTTATACCAATCGTTGGCGCGTTAATTAACAACATGGAATACTAAATTGCATATTAATTATTGATTATAATGAAT